CTGCTGAATATGTCACTAATGTTAATCAAACAACAAAACAGCTATAACAAAGATTAATCTAAATTGAATTCATACAGTGAACACAATGCAGTGTTATTTTACAATTAATTATAAAATTTCTGTACCTGAATACTATTTATTTTATCTATGCTTGTAAATTGTGTATTTGTTCTTTTTTTTACTTACTGTTCACTTGCCTTTAATCATATTTGAACTTTCTCAGACTATAGTTTTTGCTGTGGTATATGAAGAAGTACTTAAAGTGTATGGAAAGCAAAGTTACAGTGATATAAAATTAGTGTCATTCATTTTTTTGTTATTCACATTGATGTTAAAATGACATTTTCTGATTTGTGGCATTACTTTTTATGTACTGCTGAAACACTGCTGGTCACTTTCAGAAGTTGTAGTGATTCTTTCTTTTCCAAGAAAGAATGTGAAACAAATTGGTTTTTTCAAGTCATTTTAATATTTTATAATATAATTTAAATAGATTTTTCACACTTTAAGCAATATCGTATCGCATATCGAATATCGCATTTAACAAGGTATCGCATTTTTTTTCAATATTGCACAGCCCTATAGCCTTTTATTAAAATGATAATATCGCACGCCGTTGCGATATGCATATTGCGACATTTACATTTGTGATATTTCGATAATTTCGATATATCGTGCAGTCCTAGTCTGCGCCATTCATTAACACACAGAATTCATATTTAAATAGTCGTTTTGCGGCTTAATATTTACAAATACTAGTGGGAGTGTGCTCACCTGTGTGCACGCGTCGGGGCGGAACTCTGCTTTGCGCGATGCAGAGAGCGCGACCATGTAACGCAGAAACGACATGCCGCCGTGTAAATAAGATAAATAACATAAGGCTATTTAGTTTGTTTAATAAAAGAACAAGGTATAGACCTGTTCTATAGAAAAAGTAACTTTAAATGACTTCTGTTGTGATCTCGCGCTATTTAGAGAAAATAAAAGTAACTTGACCTTCAAGGGGGGGTGGGGTGCCCCCCAATATAATTAATGGGGAAACACTGATAAAGTACTATATAAATAAACGTGACGTGACTGGACTTTACTGGAGTACTGAACTGCAGAGCTCGTGCAACATCCACATTGCTGAAATCAGATGCGTTTTAAACTGCTGCTTTCTCACCGCTGTCAGTTTTTGATGTGTTCGGCTTCAGGTTCGGCTGCGTTGCTCTGTCTGAAGCGCGGTGTCGTCTTCTCTTGAATTGCATCAGCATCAGGAGAGCTGAATTACAGGTCAAACCACATTATTGCAGGCTCTTACATTAGGTCATATGAGATCAAACGACTACTCGACAACAAAAATTTTTTTTTGAAAGAAAGTCATACAGGTTTAGAACGACATGACGTTGATAAATGATGAGAATATTTTAGGTGAACGATCCTTTTAAAATTAGATCTGGTCATATTGTAGCAATATCCAGGAAAAAGGCTAAAAGATCATTTTTATCTGAAGCTTTGGAAAGATCCTTCCAATGTGACAGGGGTGGATGGTCATATTTTTCTTAAATGGTGGCCCATGAAAGTTTATTTAAAATGTAATCTTAAATAAAGTTGATTTACATGATAATATTTTTTATTGTCTTTGTGTTTTCGGTTAACATACCGTCCGTTCTCCATAGCACACATAAGTATGGCCGGCTCTGCCAAAGTGCACATAAGAAATTTTTTGAAAGAAAGTCATACAGGTTTAGAACGACATGACGTTGATAAATGATGAGAATATTTTAGGTGAACGATCCTTTTAAAATTAGATCTGGTCATATTGTAGCAATATCCAGGAAAAAGGCTAAAAGATCATTTTTATCTGAAGCTTTGGAAAGATCCTTCCAATGTGACAGGGGTGGATGGTCATATTTTTCTTAAATGGTGGCCCATGAAAGTTTATTTAAAATGTAATCTTAAATAAAGTTGATTTACATGATAATATTTTTTATTGTCTTTGTGTTTTCGGTTAACATACCGTCCGTTCTCCATAGCACACATAAGTATGGCCGGCTCTGCCAAAGTGCACATAAGGGAAGCGATTGGTCCCTGACCTTTCTGGAATTTTAAACCATTCCTGGGAAACAAAGTGCTCACTGTCCTTCGGCATCCTGCATTAAAATGGATATCAACAGGGCTGGGCTATGTTTTCTGTGAGAGTGTTTTATGAGTGTACAAGACAGTGTGTGCGCCGGTTTTTCTCCGGTCTTGAGATTTTCATTTCCAGCCACACGCTTTTCTCTTAGGGCCACACAGTAGTTGGCCGGAAAGAAGGACGGAAGGAGAGTCTTTCTGACATGCCGACGCACTGGCCAGTGCAATTGTCAGGACACTTCAACCGTGCAACCAGTAGTGACTTGGCTGCCTTGCACCACAAATATAGGTCTACTTACTTAGCTAAAGCAGATTATGAGCTAAGATTTGTTGAAATATCAGATTTAAAAAAAGGTTTAATCTTTCTTAGGCTAATTTGACACATTTTTGAGTGATACTAAGTGTACGGCACAAGGAAACAGACTATTTCCAGCTAGTTATTAAGTTGGCAACTTTGGTGGTCTGTTCTTGGACTTTGCATGATTGTATTCCGTATAGTCACTGTGTATTTGCTGTGTTTAAAAATTTAGACAAAATTGTGAATATATTGGTTATTCTAATAATTATCAAGAGTTCAGCGTTCATTCCGTTTGAACTAAATCAGTAAAAAAAAAAAAATTAATGAATTGATTTCAGTTGTTTCATCACTTGCTCCATCAAATGTTTGGGGCTGAGTTTTAAATGTTTTAGAAAAAAATCTCTTATGCTCACCAAGGCTGCATTTATTTAATCAAAAACACAGTCAAAACGTAATATTGAATAATAGAAACAATTTCAAAGGAATAGTTCCCCCCCCCCCCCACACACACACAAAAAAAATCACAATTTACTAACCTTCATGTTGATACTTATTTGATACTTAATACTTCTGCAATAATAATAATAAAAAAAAAAAATATATATATATATATATATATGGGAAAATATAAAATATATATTTGTATAAATGTAAAAGAAAAACTAAAATTGTATAAATTTACTAGAATGTTTACAGTGTTACAATAACTATTGTAATATATATATTTTAATGTAATTTATTCCTATGATGGCAAAGCTGAATTTTCAGCATCATTACTCCAGTCTTCAGTGTCACGTGATCCTTCAGAAATTATTCTGATATGCTGATTTCTTATTTTCAGCATTGAAAACAATTGGAAAAATTGATCAATTTTATTCAGTTTAATGCACCAATGCTTAAAGTATTAAATAATAATATTTTTTTCTACTGACCTCAGACTTTTAAAGGGTATTATTTATAGTCATATGTTATTTGGAGATGTTTTGATAAAACTTTTTTAAAATGAATTTCAAACTTTTGTTTGCTTTTTTCTTACTCTTAATTGATTTGAAAGTACAGGAGAGATTGGAAGTGATGGTGAGAACTTGGGGAGGACAGGATTGGGATATGTTACAAGTCTGACTTAAACTTATTTTGGCAAATAAGCACTATAGCTCAATATATTAGAGCAGTTCGATGGCATTCATGAGTTGTTCGCAAGCTTTATAACTTCTTGAAGTCAAAGTTCTTTTGATCCAGAGAGGAGCCACGGTACTCGGAAACAGTGAAGACCAATTCCTCATCAGGGAATGCTTAGTGGGGGAGAGGCCTCCACCCCCTCACTCCACATATGCTTCATTAAGTCGGCCAGGCCATGTGTGCTTTCAACACTCCCACTGCACAGACTTTAACTGCTTGTGTGTGTTGGAGAGAACAAGAGCAGATGTGCTGGCCTGCAGGTGTGCAGCAAAGGGAGGAAGTCTGGAGAGCTGGAGACGCTTTGTTTTAACACCTAAAGTTTGAGCGTTTAGACCCAGGATGGGTGGGTTGGTGCATTAAGTGCTTGGATGTTCTCTCGGGTGGGTGTGTCAAATTTAAGACCGCTCGACCTCTCGCTCCGCAGTCTGTGCGTCCCACATGTTACAAGCTGTTCTCCACCCAATGCTCTCAATAAAGCCATAACACAGGCTTTGAAAGCTAGGCCGAAGGAACCCAGCGTTCACACCTGTTAACCAGACCCAAGAGTTCTCGACTTCCTTTGATACGACTGTATATATAATGGTTATTTTTGTGATTTGGGATACTTTTTTAATGACTATAGTTTGCTTACACTATAATTTTTTACTTTTATTTGATTATTATTTACTTGAAATTGATTGAAAGTATATTTGAAAACAAGTTGGTCAAGTAAAAAAAAAGAAACACTTCCATCCAAAAGTGTGGGGTCGGTAAGATACATTTTAATGACATGAATGCCTTTATTCAGCAAGGACACATTAAGCATTGATCAAAAGTAGTGACAGTAAAGACATTTATAATGTCACAAAAGATTTGTATTTCAAATAAATGCTGTTCTTTTAAACTCTCTATTCAAAGTATCCAGGAACAAAAAAAATGTATTATAGTTTTCACAAAAGTACTAAACTGTTTTCAAAGTTATATACGAAGGAATGTTTCTTGAGCAGCAAATCAGCATATTAGAATGATTTCTGAAGGATCATGGGACACTGACGACTCGTGTAGTAAATAAATAAATTAAAATGTAAAATACATTAAAAGCGAAAACGGTTACACAATATTACTTTATTATTATTTTGACAATGTATTCTAGTTTTCACAAAAGTACTAAACTGTTTTCAAAGTTATATAAGAAAGGAATGTTTCTTGAGCAGCAAATCAGCATATTAGAATGATTTCTGAAGGATCATGGGACACTGACGACTCGTGTAGTAAATAAATAAATTAAAATGTAAAATACATTAAAAGCGAAAACGGTTACACAATATTACTTTATTATTATTTTGACATCTGATAAAAACATTACAAAAATTGACCCCAAACATCACGGTAATGAGTGTGTAAAATCATAATTTTTATTTGGCTTCTCTCTAGAAAGATTTCATTGCATCCTTTGCAGAGTATGGTGGTTTCAATTGCTCTCTTTTTCTCTTTATCCCTCTCTTTCTCTCTGTCTCTGACTCACAGCTCCCAACTAAAACGGGACAGCAGAGCACCCACACCAAAGTGAGTACAGAGCACAATAAAGAATGTTTGATCAACATCTCCAAGTACAAATTTGCCCTCGTCATCAACGGTCTGACCAACATACTCAAAAATGTGAACAACATGGTAAGTCCATGTCTATAACATTCAAGTTTCCCCATCTTGATAACTGAATTTTGAAATTCCAGTTACTCTGTTATATGAGTGAACTGCCTTGGCATTGCACAGATAAATCCAAGATGGCAGATAAATGTTTATTTAATTCAATTCTGAAAATAAGTAAAGACTGAGAAACATGAACCATTTTACTAAATGTTTGTTTGTGTTGTGTTTTTATGCTTAGAGTGTTACACTGTAAGCTTAGGAACATGATCATATCATGCTCTATTGCAATCAATTGAGAGAAGTGTCTTCTAGTCTTGCTAATGTCACATTTCTGTGTGTCTTTTGTTCATAGCGGATCTTTGGCGAAGCTGCCGAGAAGAACCTCTACCTCTCCCAGCTGATTATCCTGGACACACTGGAGAAGTGTCTGGCAGGGGTGAGCAGCTCATCCTATCTCACAGTGAATTTTGTCTGACCTGTTGCTTGTTTTGACTGTCTTACGTCCTGCCTTTTAACAGCTTTGTTCCTTGCTGTGGTTTCACCTTTGTTGCTGAACGCAATGCAAAATTGCTTATCACAATTGTTTCATTATTGCCTATCCACACCCTGATCTAAAAGATTACATATCTTTTATTATAGATTTTTATAGATATTGAAAGTAATTTTTAGAAGAAAATCTAAAAGGTTTGGACTTTTTTTAATCTATTTTTTTCTAATGTGATCCTGACCAATATTAGTCTGTTTCTTTTACTATGCTAGGCTGTAGAAATGCATTGAATGTGGTGAAACTGGAACTGCTTCATAGCAGCATGGTTATAGAAAATGAATCAACACCTTGGAATCTCAACTATCAAACAAACAGAATAAAGTTTTTAACCATGCCATGGTATAATAGAAACTAGCTGTACACTATCATTCACAGGTTTGGGATCAGTAGAAATTTAAAAGTCACATTAACAGCTTTTATAATGTTAGATAAAATATTTCTATCTCAAGTAAATGTTGTTCTATTGAACTTTTTATTCATTAAAGCATCCTAAAAAAAATAACATTTTCTACGGTTTCTACACAGTTTCTAATGTTTCTTAAGCAGAAAATCAGCATATTAGAATCATTTCTGAAGGATCATGTGACACTGAAGACTGGAGTAATGATGCTGAAAATTAAAGTTTGCTATCACAAAAATAAGATATGTGACCCTGGACCAAAAAAACAGTCAAAAGGGTAAACAATTGTTTTAATTGAGATTTATACATCATCTGAAATCTGAGTAAATAAGCTTTCAATTGATGTATGGTTTGTTAGGATAGAACAATATTTGGCCGAGATACAACTATTAGAAAATCTGGAATCTGAGGGTGCAAAAAAATCGAAATATTGAGAAATTCGCCTTTAAAGTTGTCCAAATGAAGTTCTTAGCAATGTATATTACTAATCAAAAATCTAATTGATATATTTACAGTAGTAAGTTTACAAAATATCTTCATGGAACATGATCTTTACTTATTACCCTAATGATTTTTGGCATAAAAGAAAAATCGATAATTTTGACCTAGACAATATATTGTTGGCTATTGCTAGAAATGACGCATTATTGCATTAATTGATTAATGCCGACAATTATTTTATTGCGCGTTAACGCAGTTTTTTTATTATTATGAAAGTCCGTTGCTCACTGGCTCTGAATACACATACAGACAAACCATGGGTCACAGGAGGGGTGGGATGTTGATCAGTACTGGCTTGGGATGGATGTCATCATACGTCTCAACCAGTGAGAGCATTTGGGGTGGGCCTAAATGTGATTATGACTGCAGCAGTGCTCACATGAAGCGCCCATGACTTCATAAGTGGGAAATGGGAAGTTACCGATAGCACGTGAATGCAGAAGAGAAGTGCTCTCGCTCAGCACAGTGGAGTGCATAGTTTTGTTAACTTTGTGGTTTATTATTTTGAGTCGTTTGGGACGCGGTAACACACACGGCCCTCTCACAATATATTGCTTTACAGATCTATCACTTTTGCTGCTCTGAAATGTTCACGCAATCATGCTGCACATATCAGAAGTTCAGCGCTCCGACACTACATGCGTGCCGTGCCTGAGCCCAACTGAACCGCGCTTTGGCCCACCTCCAACCGAGCCAGGGACTGCTAAACGAACGCGACACGGAGCCATCACACTAGTCAAACGAACCGGGCTTTGGGGGTCAGACGTGCTCGGGCACGGTTAAGATTGCCTAGTGTGAGTACACCCTTATTCACACACGAGTCTCTACTCGGCCATCAAGTGTTGTCCCGTGCCGCACTCAGATGCGTTGGGTCCCACGATAGTGCAGGTTTCTACTTGGAAGGTGCCTGTTATAATGTTATGATCGAGGATCTGGACTGTGAGCATAACTTTCTTTTCTATAACAAATTATAAAATATTTTTAATAAAAACGTTAATGCCCTGGCAGTGGCAAATAGCTTTAGTTTTATATTTAATTTGATTAAATTAATGTTATAAGTTAAGATTTACAATAAATATTTTAACTGCTACTATGTAAAAGGAATACTGCTGTAAAAAAGCACCTTATTTGTTTAAAGTGTTTGCAATTTAAATGTTATTGCACTTTTGTTCATATAGCAGTACTTTTAAATGGAAAAAGTGCACAATACACTACTTTTGAATTAATTATTGAATTTTGTGCATAATGCAATTAATCGCAGAAAATCATGCAATTAATCGCGATTAAATAATCGTTGCCCAGCACTAATTGTAATATATAAATAAAATAGAAAACAGTTGTTTAAAATAATAATAATAATATTTAACAATAATAAAGTTTTCTTTGAAAAACATTAAAAAAAATCTTGTCAACCCCAAACTTTTGAATGGTAGTGTGAAATGTCTGTAACATGAGTTTGAATGACTTTATAGGGACAGAGATAATTTTCTGGTCTCAAAAAGCAGAAACGGTCCAGAAATGTTTTTTGATTGCTCATGGACTCGTGAAGTCTTAGACACAGAGCCCTGGTAAAACAATTAAATCTTTAGCTTTTACTCCCAGACAGAGGGCTCTGAACTGGCCGTGTCAGGAGATTATTACATTTGCAGGTGTTTCCTCATCTTGAGATTGTCTGGATTTTCCTGTATAGATTATTAATTTTCCCTTGCTCAGATGCTACACAGCTGTTCACTGTCCTGTTTTGTTTTTGCAAAATTCTTTTTAAGTCATTTCCTTTGATGTAAGGGTATAACGTACAGTTTTCTTCCATGCTGTTCAGGATTTAATTTGTTCACTGAAATTCGAAGACATTCAAGACAAATAAACACTTTATTCATTAACTAGTTTTAGCAGTCAGGAATTTTTGCTCTGTAGTATAAAACTTCCCCTCTACCATTTGTTGCACATTTTGGGCTTTTAGCTTGACCCAGTATGTGTGCAGTACATTGATCCACTAATGTGTTTGTTTTTGCTGCTCTGTCATTGGATTTCATTTTTGTTATTTTCCCCCTTTCCTGCATGCTGCTGATCCTGAAGCGCTTTCTACTCTCTGTAGTTTTAGTCTGGTTTTTAGCTTACAACACAGTAGATGTTATTAAACTTTACAAGTATAGTTTTGTACAGCACACAGTATAAAAAATTTTAAAAAGAGAGGGAATAGTAGGGGTTACCCCGAATAGTCGAAGATTCAATGCTTCGATAGGAGAAGCCTGATTCGACTACCAATCTTACAGTCGAATCATTAGAGGCATTCAAAAATAATTTTGTGCAGTTAGCCTATAAGTTGAAATATTAATATTATGTTGTACAAATAACAAAGTATATTCTATATGAGATAGATGACGAGTTAAATTCCATTGATTAAAAACCTGTTATCAAATGCTTATTTCTACTGGTCATCTTCAGCGCGCGTAGCTCAAAACAGAAAAGCAGAACATTAATAACTACTGTCATATACATAACGTTATAATGAGAGCACCTTTGAAAATTTTTTTTTTTTGTGAATTCTTAGGGTTTCGCTGACGTTTAATGTTAACTAGCCTATCTTTTAATCAAAACATTAAAAATTATTTTTGTGTCTGCGAGGCATCCGTTACACATTTTCCCTGTGTGTTAACGTCAGTAATTATGACTGTCGAAAGTCTGATTTGACTCTTGGTAATGTATTTTGCCGCCCGCCCCCAAACATATGATTCGACTATCAGTCGACTATCGGCAAGATTCGAAAATTCCAATTCGACTATGAAAATCCTTAGTCGGGGACACCCCTAGAGAATAGTAATAACAAAGTATATTGTGTATATCATTAGCAACCCAAGGACTGCCTGAGGCTGGATGAGGCCATGTTGGTAAAACAGTTGCTCCCTGAAATTTGTCACTTCCTGCACTCGTACCGTGAGGGCCAGCAGCACGCCGCTCAGCTGCGCAGTTCTGCCTCTGCCGTGCTCTTCTCTCTCAGCTGCACCAACTTCAATGCCGTCTTCAGTCGTATCTCCACCAGGTACCTCTCTAACAATACTGGGGGTTCCACAGGGCTTTGTTCTAGGACCTCTTTCATTGTGTGAATCAGCCCCCTAAATACCCCATAGTAACTAAAAAAAAAAAGCTTTATTTTAAACACTGTAAGCCTACTGTACGAGTGTAATTTATATAAATGCTGGGCTGTTTTTCTTGTCTACAAATTGAACAGTTAAAGGCTTTACAAATTATTAACTTTTAATGTAATGCCTCCTCATAGGTTGCAAGAGTTCACAGTTTGTACAGAGGACACAGTGGATGTCCATGACATTGAGCTCATCCAGTATATCAACGTAGACTGCTCCAAGTTAAAGAGACTCCTACAAGGTAAAGCATGCTCTATTTTATTGCCTCAGTTTTCAAAAAGTTTGAGGATGAATTTTATGGGGAATCTAAAGCTGCATAATTAAAATCAGAATCAAAATATGGCACAGTGTAAATATTAAAGCACAAATGAATGCAAATAAATATATAGTGTTTCTATAATTTATAATAAATTAATTTATGAAATATATGGCGTGGAATTGCTTAATAACTTCCTGCATGTTCCCTTTAGAAACAGTACTTAAATTCAAATCTTTGAAAAAGCCGGCTCAGCTTGCAGTAATCAGCAGTTTGGAAAAGGTATGCGCTTTTTAAATAATACAATAGATTAGGAGACTTTTTCTAGCTTTTATAATTATTTATAATTATTATAATATAATTATTAAAGGTTATAGGAGTAAATTTATTTGATATGTTTGTGTCAGGCTTTTTGGAACTGGGTTGAACACTACCCTGATGAGTTCACTATGCTCTATCAGAGACCCCATGCTGACATGGCCGGTGAGTGAGACAATAATTCATATCTAAGCTGACTTGTTTACTAGACTGCTTATTGAAGTCCAATTTTAGATGTGTAACCATTAAACTGTGTGTTTCTGTGCATACAGACTGTGCAGAAAAACTGTTTGACCTGGTGGACAGTTTTGCAGAGAGTGCAAAGAGAAAGGCAGCTGTGTGGCCTCTACAGATCATCCTCCTCATCCTCTGTCCAGAGATCACTCAGAGCATCACCAAAGAAGTAGGGGGGGAGGAAAAAGCTAACAAGGTCAGAGGTCACACAGTGAATTAGACTTCTATTACTGCATTTTATTTATCTCCTGTCATTTCCAAAGTCTTTTATGTTGAAGTTGAGCATTGGAACCAAGACTTATTTTCTGCATACAAATGTTTTTGGAGACAAACCTAGCTTTTCTGTTGTCTTCAACAGAAGTCATTTGTGGACAGTCTACGGAAGGCTCTGGGACAGCACAGCGGCAGCAGACAGTTGACCGAGAGTGCGGCCGTCGCATGTGTCAAACTCTGCAAAGCCTGCACCTACATCAACTGGGAGGACAATTCCGTCATCTTTCTCCTAGTTCAGTCCATCGTCATGGACCTTAAGGTGAAGAGGACCATTTTTTGAGTAAACGATTACAGAGCAGTGCATGTCTGAAGGGAATGAAGAACATTTTTTTTCTGTTTCTAGCTGTGTGCAAATTTGCTCTCTCTTCTCTCTCAGGGTCTTCTGTTTAACCCTACTAAGCCATTCTCGAGGGGTGCGGGCTGCCAGAGCGCCGATGTGGATTTGATGATTGACTGCTTTGTGTCATGTTATCGCATCAATCCTCGTAACAACCAGCATTTTAAGGTAAGCTCGGTTGTTGAATCTTAGAGTTTCCAGCATTTTGCAAAGGACGTTATAGCAATTAATAAACAATCACTAACAAGAGATTTAATATTATTACTATCACAGCGTATTGAGCTAGTCAACATTCATTTCAGGACAAACTTAAGATCATTGCCATAACCAACATGTTCTGATATCTACACAGAGTTTTTTTGTTGTTGTTTAATAAATGTATTTCTTTTCTAGGTATTCCTGGCCTCGACTTCTCCTCCTACCTTCTATTTCGTCCTGGTCAACTCCCTGCACAAAATTATCACCAATGTAAGTATGATCTCTGTATGGACATTCACACAATGCAAAAATTATTTTTAAATATTATGCAAATAATTATATTTTTTTATTTAAAATTGTAATATTATGCAAATTAAATGCAACTTTAAATAAATGATAAACCCATTATACAAATAGACGATCTCCAAATGTGTCAGCATTCTGCATGAGTATTGATGATTGTTCACGATAAAATGCATTTTGTGACCACTGCCAGTGACTCTCTCTTTTATGATGCTATAGGAGTGCAGTAATTTTGTAGTTGATTGCTTATTAAGGTTTCACATTTATGTTCTTGCTAGTCACACCTGGACTGGTGGCCGAAGATTGACGCCATCTACTGCTACTCAGGAGAACTGCGCACCATGTTTGCAGACACATTGGGCCGAGTGGTTCAGAGTCTCGGTGCCCATCCACCTCTGAGGATGACATCAGTGAGACACATCATCATTTACACAGTTTATGGTGTATAGAAAAGCATTGGTCTTTGTTGTTAAAGTTGCTTTTTTTGTGTGTGCAGAGTCTGACATTCAAAGAGAAAATGACGACTAGTTTAAAGTTCAAGGAGAGGTCCACTGACCTTGACTCGCGTTCTCTGCTGCTGGCCCTGGTCAAACTCATCCATGCTGACCCCAAACTAATGCTGCATGTGAGTATTTGGTGGAAATAGCTATGAAATAGTCATTTAGCTTCTGTTAAAAGTTTCTGTACAAAAGTTACCTTTTGTATTAAAGTTATCTTAGAGTTGTCTCTGCATATTAGGCTAAGAAAAAGACTGGAAAAAAAGTTTTCTTTTTTTTTTTTTTTTTCAATGTCACCTTTGACCTCTTGCTCCTTTAATTCTCATAAAATTGCTGCATGTGAGTATTTGGTGGAAATAGCTATGAAATAGTAATTTAGCTTCTGTTAAAAGTTTCTGTACAAAAGTTACCTTTTGTATTAAAGTTATCTTAGAGTTGTCTCTGCATATTAGGCTAAGAAAAAGACTGGAAAAAAGTGTTCTTTTTTTTTTCTTTCAATGTCACCTTTGACCTCTTGCTCCTTTAATTCTCATAAAATGCTCTAATCCAACAGTGTTTGTGTTTTCTGATTGGTTCAAATCCTGGATTATCCAGATTAGGATTTACATGTGGATTTATTCATTTCTTTTCCCCTTTTTTTGCCTGAAGACTGGTTCTTTTTCGCAGTCTTTCCTTAACATGATTTGATATGAACTGTGATTTGGCCTAAAATGGTTAAAATATCTAAGCTTAGCAGTAGACTTGTAGTTTAAGGATTTGACTCAACTAGTTGCACTTTCTCACCATCAGAACCCAGGGAAACCAGGTCAAGAGATCCAGAACAGCACAACTGAGCTCATCAAAGGTCTGGTCCAGCTGGTTCCTCTCAACCACAGTGCAGAGCTTTCACAGGAAGCCATGGAGGTAAGACTGCTTGTTTCTTTGAACCTCCTATTTGGTATTGTTAACCAAAAACTAAAACTTTAAAAGTTGTTTTTGTTAACTCAAATAAAGCTATAAAAAATACAATTTAAGTATTAAGTATACTACAATTACTACAACTAAAATAAAAAAATATTTATTAAAGCTTAATAGGAATATTAAAACATAATCTTATAAAAATGACGAAAGCACATAATAAAAAAAATTAAAATGCGTACTTAACAGTATATGGATGATACTATAGTACTACTACTTTGAATTCTTGTAGTTGTGCATCTCATTTACTCATTCTTGCATTCTCACCCAGGCACTGTTGGTGTTACATCAGCCAGAAACTATTGAGCTGTGGAACCCTGACGCACCCATTGAGACCTTCTGGGACATCAGGTGGGTATAAAGAGATTGGTTGATGTGAAGTTGGCGATTGGAAAGATTATCTGACTATATTCTCCTTACTCCCCTCTCAGCTCCCAGGTCTTATTTCTGAACTGCAAGAAGCTGATTGGACATCAGATGATCAACAGTACAGAGATACTAAAGTGGCTCCGGGAGATTCTCATATGTAGAAACAAGTTTCTTTTAAAGAACAAGGTAAACACATATTCTGTCTAAACATGAACTTGAAATTGAATCCACTCAGAGAAAATGCACTCATTAATGTCTCATTGTTCTGCAGGAATGTGCCACACAGGGCAGTCTCATCCTCATCAGCAGACAGGCTCAGACCAAGCTGGAAGTGTGTCTCTACACCTTCCTGTGGAGCCCTGACGCAGAGGCTGTGTTGGTGGCCATGTCCTGCTTCCGGCATCTCTGTGAAGAGGCGGACATCCGCTGCAATGTGGATGAGCTGCCCGTGCACATGGTCCTACCCAATTACAACACTTTTATTGAGCTCGCCTCTGTCAGCAATATGATGGCTACAGGTTAGTAGTACAACAGTCTCCGTGACATAGGATTAGACTGGCAGCTTTAAGCTTTAGGGACACTGTATTTTATTTGTGCACGAGTGCACTTCAGCTAGCACTGAAGTTGTGTGTGTGTGTGTGTGTGTGTGTGTGTATATATATATATATATATATATATATAAAAAATTTTTTTTTACATTTATTTACTTATTTGATATAGCTAGAAAAAATGTGTATGTACAATTTGATAAATTCATTCATTCATTCATTTAAGACCATAATTACTAGTGTGGTAATATTTTTGTAAAACAGTTAATACCAATGTGGCTAAATAAATGAATGAGTGAATGAATGTATTATTTTGTTATTTGTGGTCATGAATACTTATGTGGATTTATTTATTTATGGATATATAAAGAAAATAGCATTTGATATTATACTAATAATACATATATTTCGTTAATTAGTTAATTTTTGCCCATCAGTATGACGTTTAATACTGATAATCATAAATTCTGATTAACATTATGATTTAGTGGCATAGATTCTTGGAAAAAAATTTTTGGTCTCATTGTAAAATAAAACAGCCTGCAAACTGTATGTGTATTCAGGCCGCAACACACTTCAGAAGAGAGTGATGGCGCTGTTGAGGAGGATAAAACGCCCTACAGCTGGAAATGTAGAGGTAAAGATTTCTTTTTGTCAACTTGAATTTAAGATTTAAGTGAATTTAAGATGTACATTTTTTCCCCCAGGTATTAATTGCTAATCATTCAGATCCATTGCAACTTTTTTGCAGCTTCTCTATTCATTTTAGTTGACTCAAATTTGACCTTTTTCAATCTTAGGCATGGGAAGACACGCATGCAAAATGGGAGCAAGCTACTAAACATATACTCAACCACCCGAAAAACAAAGTGGAAGATGGACAGGTAGTTAAAAGAATGATAATCAGTAAGGTGTATATAACTTTTTTTTCCTCCTCTACAAACTATTTTTTCCTCTGTCCTCAGGAGTGGATCAACATGACCGGTTTCTTGTGTGCCCTGGGAGGGGTTTGTCTCCATCAACGCAGCACCCCTAGCCTAGGCACCTACAGCCCTCCTATGGGACCCCTAACCGAACGCAAGGGCTCCATGATCTCTATGGGCTCTTGTGAGGTGAACAGCGAGACGTCTCTTAACAGGTTTCTGGACCGTCTGCTGGGTCTCATGGTCTGTACACATGAAAAGGTGGGCGTGCAGATTCGAACCAACGTCAAAGACCTTGTGGGACTGGAGCTAAGTCCAGCTCTCTACCCTATGCTATTCACCAAGCTACGCAACAGCATCGGCCGGTTTTTTGAGACCCAGGGTCCGGTAAGAGAATGATAATCATGGCATGCAACTGTAGGATTAGATATTGTTTTCGAAGTATTGCACTTTATATTTTTATTTCATGTATGTGGAGGTGTAAGTTAACACATTCATAACATAAAGATCATTCTCACAAAGAACTGGTTAATACTAGAGCCCGACCGATATATCGTTTTGCCGATTTTATTGGCCGATAGGAGCCTGTTGCAGATATATCGTATCGGCGGATATGCCGCAGATATGCTACCGATATAAAACATTTTTTTGTAATTACGTAGTTTGTCCAGTAATTTCTCCATTGTTTGCTACTGGCAACCTGGATGAAACTCTATAAAGCTTAAGTGAATGGAATACCATTGAAACTTTGAAATTATCAAATGGCACGGCGGATCTGCACCAAATTCGGGGGATCCCTTCAGCTCAAGGAACCCTCTCGAATGCCAAATCAAGTGTACGTCTCGAGGCCCCCTTTCGAATGAGACCATCCCCGTGTCGATAGTCCCCCGGGTCTGGGAGTTACGGGTGGTTAAATTTGCGGGACAGGCACCGACCGATCTGGCTATCCCGGGGGGCTACCGATGTGCGGAGGGTGGCGTTCGAGAGGGCTCCTCGAGCTGAAGGGAGCCCCCGAATTTGGTGGAGATCCGCCGCCTTGTTCGCTAGATAGTGACACCAGCAAACACTTTCACTTCAGTAAGGAGGTCTCTTGTTCAGGCAGCAGCATTCGAGCGTTCGACTATAAGTGCCCTGCGCAGTGGACTTCACATGATATTCCGCCATTATTCCAGTTCCAAGGGAACGTACACGTTACATTCAAAGGGCATTAAAGTGTGCGAGTCGTGAATTTATATTGTATTTATTTACAGAGGTATATTATGTCACACTTAACACTTCTCTAGTAAGTTTCGTCTGTGTGTGAAGACAGTAGCGCAAATCCGTGAATGAATGTTCTGAAGTGAAATAAACTTCAACGGAATAAAGTTGAATGAAATTGAATTGAAATAAAGTTGAATAGACTTTAACTTTACTTAGCACTGATGTCAGACTCATTTTGGATAATAAAGTTTATTGTTAAATTGTTAAATGCCCTGCCTCCATTACGTATCTCTGTCACGTCATTATAAGTGTTTGATCACCACATTTGAGTGATCATTGCAAAAAATGTGTTTATGTATATATATTCTGTTTATGTATATACTGTATTCTATATATAGTACCAGTCAAAAGTTCGTTTTCCGTCCATCGGTATCGGTACCGGCCCCAAAAAAATCAGTTGGGCTCTAGTTAGTACTGCACTCGAATAAAAAGCAAATGTTTTATTATATATAAAATAGGAATTTCATAATGAAAATAAATGATTGTAAAATCATTATATAATAACATTTATTTCAGAGCATTAATGCTTTTTTGCAGATTAAGCTTTTCTATTTTTTATTTTTTGTATATGAGTGTGTATTTATATTTGTATGTTTAAATATTTATTTATGGCATATTTAAATATTTGATCATAGTTAATAAATATTTGTAAATGATTGTAAATTCAGTTCAACAGTATCTAATTTTCGTGAAAAAGCCACCATGCAAAAATGCTCCTAAATTTATGCTTCATTTTCTATACAACATACTGGCAACAAATATAACAAATTACTCAACTTATCAAGCATTCTTCACTAAATAGCTGTCATGTATAGTTTTGGACACAAGGTGGCAGAATACCAACATTGTCAGATCAATCCAGTCTCATCAGCATTTAGTGATCTATTTAATCTAGAATGATCTAACATGCATTAAACACTGGAATCTTTTGTAAATGCGGTAGTATTTTCATCTCATATCATATTATCAGTATCACATCACATTCTGCATAGGCATCAGCCATATTCTGTGCCAGCATCTTTGTTCTTTATCAATTTCTTCTATAGGTTCCCATTACAGACACAAACACGCTGTTTGTAGAGCAGACCATCGCCATCATGAAGAACCTGCTTGACAGTCACACTGAAGGAAGCTCAGAGCACCTCGGTCAAGCCAGCATTGAAACCATGATGCTCAACCTGGTTAGGTGAGACTTTGATTTACGCTTTCCTATGCTCTTTAAAAAAAAAAAAAAAAAAGAGGTTAGGAAAAATGTTAGTATAAACACTGGATTTGCATGGCATTTTAATAAAAAGAGCATTAAGAAGTTTATTTTTCCATTAAAGGTTTTTTCTTTATGCTCCCTCTCTCAGGTATGTGCGTATTTTAGGGAATGTCGTCCATGCCATTCAGATCAAAACTAAGCTGTGCCAGCTAGTGGAGGTGATGATGGAACGCAGGGACGACCTCTCCTTCTGCCAAGAGATGAAATTCAGGTGAAATGTTTTTTGTTTTAGAAAGAAGTCTCTTATGCTTACCAAGGCTGCATTTATTTGATCATAAATACAATAAAACCATTAATATTGTGAAATATTATTACAATTTAAATGAAATGATTTCTTTTTAGATATATTTTATGTAATTTATTCCTATGATGGCGAAGCTGAATTTTCAGCAGTGATAACTCCAGTTTTCAGTGTCACATGACCTTTCAGAAATGATTCTAATATGATGATTTGCTTATGTTGAAAACGTTTGTGCTGCTTAATATTTTTGTTGAAACTAGGGATGTCAATTAATCGATGATTGATTAATTGTCGATAAGAGATGCAATCGATTAAAGCTATCGATGGTCTGACAAGATTCGCATGAAAAACGCATTCAATTTTTTGCCCAGCCCTAATCAGGGCTATTCAACTGGCGGCCGGGGGCAAATCCGGCCCGCCAATCATCTTTATCCGGCCGAGGTAGAAGTACGTGCAGGTGGCATATATGCCTTGAATTGTTGTCCACAAGGTGGCAACACTGGCCCGGACCATACGAAAAAGAAAAGAAAGAGACACAACAACAACAATCTATGGAGACCGCAACAGCAATAGACTGCAGCGTTGACAAGCATTTATGAGGGAGTTATGAGATATCCACAACTCTCGTTTAATCGAGTATAAAGACAGTGTTATCAGTCATAACTTCTGGCAAAAAAATAGCGCAAACACTGGACGAAAATGATCAAAAGAAGTAACATATAGTTTGAAAAGCTGCGTGTTCAACTGTACACATACGCTGAGATGCTTCAGACAGACTGCCAGTAGTGCTTAAACTGCCAAAAATACACACTATTATGTCAAAATGCGTGGTTTTGGCGAGTTACCTCGTAAACGTAGTCTTAACTGGGTTACAAAGACCTCAAGGAGACAGCGCTGCTTTTAAAGTGAAACTTGCTGAAGTCTGTCATTGACGTAAATCAAAGAACAAAAGAAAAAGAGAACTGCTCTAGTTGCTGATTGTTGCTGAACTTTTGTACCTTGAATAAAAATTAACCAATATAGTTTATGCATATACAATTGATAGTTTATGCGAAGGTTGTTTTAAAATAACTTAAATTAAAATTGTTATATATTTCGGAGCCTATTAAATGTTAAAAATAATGACTTTCAATTATGCTATAATGTTGAATGGCTATAATTAATAGGTAAAAGTGAGGGAATTTAATTTAGTTTAATAGAGACACCAGTAGCAGTATTGGTATCAATACTCCATTAATAATAGGCTACTTAGTAAAAAGATGCCATTTACTATAATGTTGAATGGCTATAATTAATAGGTAAAAGTGAGGGAATTTAATTTAATTTAGTTTAATAGAGACACCAGTAGCAGTATTGGTATCAATACTCCATTAATAATAGGCTACTTAGTAAAAAGATGCCATTTAACACGTATTTAAAATATACCATCTTTGTTGTTTCTACATGAATTTGGAGGTTCAATATGAAATTATGACAATATAAATATGCGATTAATCATGATTAATTACAGAAAAATGTGTGATTAATTATTTTGTTAATTGATTAACAGACAGCACTCTGTTAACCTTTTATGAATCTTAGTACTGGTAATATTAGTTAATTTTACTGCTGAATATGCATTTCAATTTAATTTCAAATTTGATAGGCCCTCCAGAAAGAGATCGGGATGGCCCCCATACCCTTGGCCCCCTTCAAATTTTCAGTTCGATAATCCGGCCCTCAAATGAAGCTAGTTGAATAGCCCTGTCTTATATATACAGTGGGTTCAAAAGAACAGCATTTGTGAAATAAAAACCTTTTTGCAACTGTTTAAGTGTCTTTAATGTAATTTTTGATTAGTTGAATGGGTCCTTGCTGAATATAAGTATACTTTTCTTTAAAAAAATATCTTTCTTACGCTGAACAAACAAAATTGTCAATTTGTTATGATGATTAAGTTTGTGAATTGTGAGGTCGTGAGATGACTGACTTTGCTGCTTTTCCTAGAAATAAAATGGTGGAGTACCTCACAGACTGGGTGATGGGAACCTCTAATCAAGCAGCAGATGATGACATCAAATGTCTGACCCGGTATTGTCTTGGTAGCTTCCTGCTGTTTATAATATGTGTAGTGGCTTCAAACCTGAAAACTCTCACTTTATATTCTTTTCTCATGCTGTGTTTTTGTGAACGTGTCATGCAGGGATCTGGACCAGGCGAGTATGGAGGCAGTAGTGTCTCTGTTGGCTGGTCTTCCCCTGCAGCCTGAGGAGGGTGATGGAGTTGAGCTCATGGAGGCCAAGTCTCAGCTCTTTCTGAAGTAGGAGCATTCATCCAACTCTTTTGTTTTGTCTTTTAAGGTCCATTTTCAGTCCATAATCTCTTCTCTCTCTCCTTTAGATACTTTACGCTGTTCATGAACCTGTTGAATGACTGCAGCGAGGTCGAGGAAGATGGCCAACAGGTGGCAGGGCGGAAACGTGGGATGTCTAGACGACTGGCATCTCTCCGACACTGTACTGTGCTGGCCATGTCTAACCTGCTCAATGCTAACGTCGACAGCGGCCTCATGCACTCCATTGGTGAGAAATGCTGACATTATCATGGATTCTTATTGTACTTAAGTTGTTTTGACTGTTGATGTCTTTGAACAGGTCTGGGGTACCATAAGGACCTGCAGACACGAGCTACGTTCATGGAGGTGCTCACTAAGATCCTTCAGCAAGGGACAGAGTTTGACACGCTCGCAGAGACTGTGCTTGCAGACCGCTTTGAGAGACTTGTTGAGCTGGTCACCATGATGGGAGACCAGGGCGAGCTGCCCATAGCCATGGCACTGGCCAATGTGGTCCCCTGCTCTCAATGGGTGAGAGATATTAACAACTTTGTTTAACCTTTACAGTTTCGAAAAAATAAGAATTAAATAGAGCCAACATCTATTTATAAAACATGTATGAAAAGGTTTTAAAGCAAACTTTCATATTCATAATCTTTTTTTTCTTCTTACACAGAAGCTAGATTTAGGTGCTAAACAATTGATACAAAAATATTAAAATATTTGTAACACAATAATGAAAATTTCATGTTGTGTTTTTGATGCAGAAAATAGTTATTTCATGTTACAGTTTCTTCATATGTCATTATGAACGGGTCTTAAAGTTATAGTTTACCCCAAAATTAAGATTTTGTCATCATTTAATCAACCTCATTTTGTTCCAAAACTGTATGACTGGACCATGAGTAATGTTGTTTGGTTCCCAGCATACTTTAAAATGCGCTATCTATTTAACTCTGTTTTGAACAGCGAGTAATGCATTGGGTGTGTATTGTTGGCCATTAGAGAGCTGTTGTGCTCAATGTTCTGATGGTTTTCAGGATGAACTGGCCAGGGTGTTGGTGACACTGTTCGACTCTCGCCATCTGCTGTATCAGCTGCTATGGAACATGTTCTCAAAAGAGGTGGAGCTGGCCGACTCTATGCAGACCCTCTTCAGAGGAAACAGCCTTGCGAGCAAGATTATGACCTTTTGCTTTAAGGTAAAGTGAAATGGTGTCAGTGATAGCACATTTAATTTCATTCAGTGATGGCGAAGCTAGCCCCAAACTTTTGAACAGTAGTGTATGTGCACTTAAAATCGGGCTTTTCTGTGTTTGCAGGTCTATGGTGCTGCATATCTGCAGAAGCTTCTGGAGCCACTGTTGAGAGGAATTATTACCACACCGGAGTGGCAGCAAATCAGTTTTGAAGTAGACCCTACCAGGCATGTTTACCTAGCTGTAAAACTCATATTGTTAATGATGTTTAGTCAGGTCTAGCTTTTACTTCAGCACAGCACAGAACACACTTTAGAGTCCCAGCCTCAGAGGAGACAAGAGAGACAGTGGATTTATTGATTTATTTACATTATATTACACTGCTGCAACACGGATCTAATGTAAACATGCAATTTCTTTCCCAACTATTTAACTTCACAGACATACCAGACTGTTTTTGCAAACTTGTTTGTATTTGACAGTTTAAGCGCAATAATAGATGAAAGAGAACTGAGTTTAGTACTCACATGCCATGTGGCAGCCGCTTTCTGTGTGCGTACTTCGGATGTGTGCGCTCAAAAAAAGCCATATATCAGAAGTTTCAACTAATATGGTTTAAAACGCACGATTTCAGTGCGATAGACATAATCAAAACCAAACAGATGTTTTTTGGCAGAATATCTGAGGTACGTGCATGAAAACGTGAAAGCGTTTTTCTGCTTCCACTCAAATTAGGCATTTGTAAAATTATTTAATAAATGATCTGTGGGATATTTTGAGCTGAAACTTCACAGACACATTCTGGGTACACCTGAGACTTATATTGATATAATAGGTCACCTTTAAAGGAGTTCTTCGTGATGTACATTTAAACACTCTTCAAAGTACAGATGTTTTTTTATCATTGTCTTTCTGCTGAAAGTTTAACTTCTCATCTCCTCTTTAGGCTCGAACCAGCGGAGAACCTGGAGGAGAACCAGAAGAACCTCCTGCAGATAACAGACCGCTTCTTCCTGGCCATTATCAACTCTTCAAACGAGTTCCCTCCACAGCTGCGCAGTGTGTGCCACTGTCTATATCAGGTACGCTCACTGCCTAATGCTAGTCTGTTTTTTTTAACCACTGTTACTGCATCCTCTGAATGACTGCATTGTGGCTGTCTTTCTTGCTTGGATATCCACTGATCAGTCTTCCAGTCACTTCTAACAAGAGAACCTGCTCTTATCCTCTCTCATGCCACTGCTCACCTCTGTCTGTCTGCGAATATATCAGATGGTTTAAATGCACCCATTTCCTTCGGATACACACTTGAGATACATTCAAAAGTCTGGGGTTGGCATCATTTTTTTTGGGATGTTTTGATGAAAGAAGCCTCTTTGACCAGAAATACAGTAAAAACAATAATATTGTGAAATAGTTTTTTTTTACAGTTTAATATTTTAATATATTTAAAAGTGTAATTTGTTCCTGTGATGGCAAAGCTGAATTTTCAGAAATACTCCAGTTTTCACTGTCACATGATCCTTCAGAAATCATTTAACCATGTTGATTTGGTGCTCTTAATATCTGTGTTGTCCTGCTTAATATTTTTGTAGAAACCATCAAACCTTTTTTCAGGATTGAACAGCGTTTATTTGAAATAGAAATCTTTTATAACAGTGTGAAAGTCTTTATTGCTTTTGATCAATTTTGATCACCCCACGTTTAAACGGTAATCTACATCCCATAACTGGTTTCCAATAGGGTTAGTATGTGTTATTTTTATGTTGTTGTTATAATGTTCGAAAAAGGGATATGTAAGAATGTTTGAAATGCTACTGTTGTCATAGAATTTCTTGTGTTTGAATGGCAAAATGGGATTGTGGCATTCAAAGTGCAAACATTTTCAGTTAAATCATACTACAACTTGTTCTTAATACTGACTAGAATTAAATGATTTTTTTAAAGGGATTTAAATAAGGAGTGATGATAAGATGATTTTCATATCAGGCTGATACAATCCTTCATACTTCCGGTATCCCCATTAAAGTTTAATGTATCGGAAAATGATTACAAATGGCAAAGAAGATCTGCTAAATCATTTGCTGCTTTACATGCAACAACCGACATTACAGATTCAGTTTGGTAAGGAAACATTTTGATAGTGCTTGAAGCTGTATTGTTATATGTCACAAGCAGGTATGAATCACAATTCTTCCAGCTGCAATAATCCATATTTATAGCACACATGCGGTTGAAATCGCAGTTGAAATCACTTCCATTTGTGCGTACAAAAACCATTTGTTTTGTTATTTTTCATAAAAACAAATAGAAGGGGGTGTTTATGGAATTGTCTTTTTACTGAAACAAAAGTACAAAGTTTTCATTTGAAGGTACCAACTGTTTTTCTCACATCTCTGATGTGACTGCACTCTGTCAAGGGCACCATCTTATGGACGGTGATGCATAAAGTTGTTTTTTAAGCATCGAAAAGAATTCCTTTTTCTTAATTACATGTAGTTTTGTTTTCTTTCTTGTCGTTTCCTTTCATGGCCTTTCTTGTCTTGTTTGTAATCACGATGATCGGGTTGTGATGGTTGGCTTGTTAAGTCCCATAAAAATTGAAATGATAGTTTTGTGGCACATAGTTAGCTTTGAGGTCATTGCTATGCTAGTGGACTCTTAAAGTTGGTATGAAACGGAAGTTACGATTGTCTTTTCTTCTCTGCTGTGACATATATCCGAGTGAAACGGCATCTGAAATGAGAGGATGGGACTTGATTTCATCCTTCGGGAATTGATTGGATCGTTGGAAGCTGGGGCGTTGCCAACAAAATGGGGCAGAGCTGAATGCCAGTTTGCAGTTAGTGATGGGGGATTTCTCTCCACTGGATTCACCGCCGACACCCAAGCATGAATAAATGTTTTTTTTTTTATTGAGGATGATGACGATGGCACAAAACATGCCTAAACAGAACGAGAGAGCGAGAGAGAGAGAGACTGCCTGAATGACTGAGCGTGTCCTCCATCAGGTTAAAGGGGTCATATGATGCAATTTCAATTTTTCCTTTCTCTTTGGAGTTACAAGCTCTTGGTGCATAAAGAAGATCTGTAAAGTTGCAAAGACTAAAGTCTCAAATCCAAAGAGATATTCTTTATAAAAGTTAAGAGGCAGCCACACCTACCTAAAACGGCTCGTTCTAACACGCCCCCACATACCTACGTCACGATGTGTGAAGATTTGCATAACGCCGCCCAAATGTTCACGCAAATAAAGAAGGCGTAACTTTTATTCTCGCTGTAGTATTGTTGCTGCCGCCATGTCGTGAAGGCGCTGTGTGTTTCATTGTGAAAGCGAAACTACTTTGTTTGGCCTTCCAAAAGAGGCCGATATCTGCTTCGTCATGCCTGGAGCCGATCTGTGCTGGTTGCTGAGGAAATACAACAACTTTGCGCTGTGGATCGCCGGACCAGCTTTCACCGTGGACGAAGCAGAGTCCAGCCCGGGGTCGTCACATGTGGTCACAAGCCTCCTTCGTCGAATCCGCCCACTGCCTCTGCTCACTCTAGCCCTCCGGCCGTTGCTCACTCTAGCCCTCCGGCCGTTGCTCACTCTAGTCCCCGGCCTCTGCTCACTCTAGGCCGCCGCCGCTCACTTTTGGCCGCCATGTGTGACGCTGTGTTTCCTTGTGAAAGCGAAACTACTTTGTTTGGCCTTCCAAAACTGGACACAACTAGAAATCAGTGGTTAAGTTGTATTCATATTCATGAAAAAATAATAATAATAGTTTGCGATGTTCTGAGAGTATTGTCGTAATATCCTAATATCTTTTCTATGTTTAAGGGTAACGTACTCCCTCGTGACTGGTGTCAGTGCTATAAAGTGAAGCATCAGCTTCAGCTTTTCCCCCCAAACGTCACTGATGTCACTGCAGCTGTTGGCAGTTCCAGATAGCTCCGCCCTTGCGCCATAGCTCGTGACCGGAAGAGTAGAGGAGTCATTTGAGGGGGAGGGGAAGTTAACGTTTTTGATTAAAAATTACAAGAGCACATGAATTAAAAAAAATTAAATAAAGTGCACGGATAAATTATTTATAATAAATACTACAGTATTCCATCAAAAAATAAGAATTGTCAATATTGATTTCATGCCGACTTTAAAAGTTTCCATTTAGTAGATGCATACATTTAAGACAAAGTCTTTCCTTTCTGGGGAAACAGACTGAAAAAAATTGATAACTCATCTTATCAAATCAGCTGCAACCATCAGTCCTGCTACACAAGTCCTGCTCTCTTCTGCATGGCCCACTTGTGTTCTCATACATGCGACACATATTCTGGTCTTTACTTTCCTGCAGCTAGCGTTAACTTATCTTTACACTCTTAATATTATTCACACTTTGTTTGCTTGGGCCGAGAGCTGTCTCTCTCCTCCACTGTAGCATCTTTACTGCTTTTGCTTTACTTTACTGCTTTACACAGCCAGTGTTTCTTAATCACTGAAATGAACATGAATTAAATTTTTCGTAGATCAGCTCTTAGAAAGGCAGTGGTTGTGTTGTCTGCTGCTTTGTGTTTGTATGCACTGTGGCTGTGCTGAGTGCAGTTGTGTAGCTGCTGTGACCTCTCTGTGCTCATCTCTACCCTGTAGGCTACTTGCCACTCCCTTCTAAATAAAGCCACTGTTAAAGAAAAAAAGGAAAACAAAAAATCTGTAAGTGTTTTAGCATTTTATTTTTCCTTTAGTTTCCATCTATTATTAGTTTGAGTTTACTCATACCATAAGTGCAACCTGTTTTTTGGTTTGTTTTATTTTTTTAATTATGAATTTGTTCATTTCATTTTTTTTTCATGTTTTTGGATTTTGGTTTTCACCAGAACATGTTCAGAAACACCTGTGTAAACTGATGTTTGCAATATGTACAGTTTTCTTATGAAGACGCCTCAATTTTTAACACAACATAGTTTGGGAAATGAGTATCTAAATAAATAATTGTACTGCTTTGGATCACCCTTCTTTTTCTTTGAATTTCATCTTGTGAACTGAGTCAGCGGTAGCGGGCAGTTTGGATCAGTTCAGCTTTTCTGTTTCTTTGCGTGGGTTTAAGGTCTGTTATAACATTAAGGCAGTATATCCTCAAATGTGCAGACATTGTGCCTGGTACTGACTTGGTCTACCTTCTGAGAATGTATAAACACTTCTAAGTTTAAATTAGAAAACGTTATGAATCTGTATTTTGGCTCCTTGAAGAGTCTTGTCTTTCTTGGAAAACTTTTAATAAAGTGATTTGCATGCTGTAAATATGATGTAAAATTAACATGTTGGCACTTCTCTGGCTTGTCATGTGCTCCATCGGTCGTCTTCAAAACAATGGTGGTGCATTTTTTCAGTTTCAGAAACCATTGGTGCATATGCATGCTTGATGTATGTAATGGTGTAAAATGTGTGATTATTCCCACTCTTAATTTTCTGTCTTTTTTTTTTCTTTTCTCATTTCATTTCTCTTGCCATTTGCTAGGACCATTGCAACATGATCATGATGTTATAAGCATGGTGCATTTTTATCATCTTTTTGATTGATTAATATGTGTTTACATATTAAAACTCTGGCAACTATCAAAATATATAAAAACAAAAGTAAATGTGTTTACATGAGATTTTGAAATTGTTACTTGTGAAATTGGTGCATGTAAACAGATGATACACAAAGAATGAGTTAATTACCAAGATTAATATTTATTTTTATTTTAATGCAAGTTTATGCAAAAGTGGATCTTTGGCTCTCATCAGCAGTAGGCTTAAAAAATGTTTGCATAAGCTGAGACTTCTCATAGCCTATTTTAAGTCTCGGTCCAATTAGATTGACTTGGCCACTTGAGACAGAAACAGTTTAGTCCCCTACAAAGAATTTAGGACACAAATGATCAGTTATTATAGGTGTGGGGAAATTGTAACCCCAAATTTCCATGAATAATATTTTTAGGGTGTGTATGCACTGCCACACATTGTTCTGCAAACATTTATTGTGGCTAGTAACAGACTGTTTTGTGCTTAAGTGTGGTATGTATATTTGTTGTATTTTAATGGTTGATAATCGTTATGGCAGCATTCATTTGCATGTTTGCTATCATACAAGTCTGCCGTCATCATTAGTTTGTTCTGTGCAAACACTGCATAGTTTTTTAATGTGTCATAGCCCTGTTTTCTTTCTAATTGAGCCTGTTTTACCTGACACAAAACTATGGAAGCCCGTTTCCGCCACTGAATAAAAAATAAAAAAGGTAATTGCGACTTTTTATCTCTCAATTCTGACTTTTTTCTCAGAATTGCGTGATATAAACTCGCAATTTCAGAGTTTAAAAGTCATAATTGTGAGATATAAACTCGCTATTCTGAGAAATAAAGTCAGAAATTGTGACTTTATATCTCGCAATTCTGACTTTATAACTCGCAATTGTGAGTTTATATCATGCAATTCTGAGAAAAAGTCAGAATTGTGAGTTTATATCTCGCAATTCTGTGAAAAAAAGTCAGAATGGTGAGATGAAAAAGTCACAATAACCTTTTTTTATTTTTCATTCAGTGGCAGAAACGGGCTTCCATACAAAACACATTTATCAGTTAAAGGGGTCATATGATGTTGCTAAAAAGAACATTATTTAGTGTATTTGGTGTAATGAAATGTGTTTATGCGGTTTAAGGTTCAAAAACACATTATTTTCCACATACTGTACATTATTGTTTCTCCTCTATGCCCCACCTTTCTGAAACGCGTGGATTTTTAGAAAACTCATCGGTCTGAAAAGCGAGGTGTGCTCTGATTGGCCAGCTATCCAGTGCATTGTGATTGGCCGAATACCTCAAGCGTGTGACGGAAATGTTACGCCCCTACCATACTGTGATGCCCTGTTACACTGCCCAAAACTCGCGTTTGAATCGTTAGTGGCAAATTCTTTACATATAAAAAACGTACTTACAGTCTGTGAGTCAGCCGGCATTGTAGTCTACTCTCACAGGATCAGGAAAAAGTCCTCCATAAAATGCGCTGCTCACATCTGAATATTTGGGTTGAACTGTTCTGGAACAGTGTTGTAAATACAACTTAACCACTGATTTCTAGTCGTGTCCTCTTTTGGAAGGCCAAACAAAGTAGTTTTGCTCTCACAAGGAAACACACAGCGGGCTTGAGTGAGCGGAGGCCGGCGGGTTTGAGAACGGCACGGCCGGTTTGCGACAACCATATGTGACGACCCCGGGCTGGATTCCGCTTCGTCCACGGTGAATGCCGATCCGGCAATCCACAGCGCGAAGTTGATGTATTTCCTCAGCGACCAGCACGGATTAGCGCCAGGCATGACAAAGTGGATATCATCCTCTTTTGGAAGGCCAAACAAAGTAGTTTCGCTTTCACAACGAAACACACAGCTCTTCAAAACATGGCGGCAGCAACAATACTACAGCGAGAATAAAAGTTACACCTTCTTTCTTTGCGTGAACATTTGGGCGGAGTTATGCAAATCTTCCCACATCGTGACGTAGACATGTGGGGGCGTGTTTAAATGAGCCGTTTTAGGTAGGAGTGGTTGACTCTTAACTTTTATAAAGAATATCTCTTTGGATTTGAGTCTTTAGTCTTTGCAACTTTACAGATCGTCTTTATGCACCAAGAGCTTGTAACTCCAAAGAGAAAGGAAAAATTTAAATCACATAATATGACCCCTTTAACGTTCTTTTCTGTCAGACTTTCACATATTTTCTTTCTTCATAATATTCCTGGATGTAAACCTATAAAAATTTATATTATTAGTATTCTGTGTTTTGTTGTTTTCAAATTAAAATCATGATGGCAATAATATACTGGCAGTAATTAGATGGTTTATCTATAATGCATTCTTCTAGCACTTAACTATCTTTCCTCTCATTTCCCTCATCCGTTTATGCAGGTGGTCAGCCAGCGGTTTCCACAGAACAGTATCGGTGCAGTAGGAAGTGCCATGTTCTTGCGCTTTATTAACCCAGCTATTGTATCACCGTATGAGGCAGGCATCCTAGACAAGAAACCTCCTCCTCGCATCGAGCGTGGCCTCAAACTCATGTCTAAGGTGTGTAATGTCATGTTCATACATATTATACATAACTTCCATTTCCATCATCTGTGGTGAAGTGTTTTGTCTAACTGGCAAGATTAAATGTTTATTTATACCACAACACTGGGCCCCACTGCTAAATTATATGTAGCAAAATTTGAATTTCTACAATGTTTCTTCTCTTTTCAGATACTCCAGAGCATTGCTAATCATGTACTGTTCACAAAAGAAGAGCATATGCGGCCCTTCAATGATTTTGTCAAAAGCAACTTTGATGCAGCCAGAAGGTATGTTTGTATTTGTTTGATTCTCACATATTAGATCTTTTGTTTTTCAAGGGGAGATTTTTGATGGATCAGCTGAAGGCAAGAAAAAGGCCTTTTGAACGATATACTTGACACTTGCTTCAAATTGTGTCACATTATTGAAACATTATAATGCTACTTTCAGTTGCCAGTTAGAGGCATGTGTTGTAAGTGAATTTTCAGAGAGCACTTGATTGAATACAATTTGTGCTAAATATTTTATTTACAGTATTATTTAACCCTGAAGTTTTACATGAGTATATGTGTAACTTCGCCCATGTTTTAGGTGTATGCAAGTATATTTGTGTCTTTAAAACTTGAAGATATGGACTACAACCCAAGACAGTTGACACAAGACAGTTGTGATTTTATTGGGTCTTGAAACACAATGTTTTAAACCCATCAGCTCCTCCATGGGCTTCAAAATGCCTTATTTTTATTTTGGCAGGTTCTTCTTTGATATTGCATCTGATTCTCCACCAAGTGACACTGTGAATCACAGTCTATCTTTCATCAGTGACTGCAATGTGCTCGCCCTGCATCGTCTGTTATGGAACAACCAAGAAAGAATTGGCCAGTACTTGTCCAGCAACAGGTAAATGTAGCAAAGGAGGTCAGGGTAGTGTTTCAAAAGCATTGTGAGACTAAATTGACTATTGACACCAATGGTCTCTACTAGTGTTTTCAGAATATATATAGACATGATTTTAACAAATATTTTAATTAAACTTTTACCATAGGGACCACAAGGCAGTGGGCCGCAGACCATTTGACAAGATGGCCACCCTCCTGGCCTACCTGGGCCCCCCTGAACATAAGCCAGTAGCTGACACACACTGGTCCAGCCTCAACCTCTCCAGCTCAAAGTTTGAGGAATTTATGACCAGGTCACTGTTCTTGCTTTTTTATATTCTCTTCAGATTTAACTAAGAAATAGTAATAGTCAAATATATATATATATTTTTTAATTAAATCAGCAGACCTAATTTATATTCTGCTTTTTTTTTTTTAAGGCATCAAGTCCATGAGAAGGAGGAGTTTAAAGCTTTAAAGACGCTCAACATCTTTTACCAAGCTGGCACGTCAAAGAATGGCAATCCTGTCTTTTATTACATTGCTCGCAGGTAGGAGCTTTAGTTTTGAATCATGATATATCGGTATAACTCAGGGCAGTTTTTAGGAATATTTGCATGAATGCACAGAATAACTGCAGAATATTGTTTTATTGATGTGCAGGTTTGTACAGTAGTACGTAGGCATGGGCCAATTACCGGTTTCAAGGTATACCACGATTTGGAAAATGCCACGGTTTCAAAACCACTAATATTTTACGTTATACCAGTATACGCTGTTTTTCATGTCTCCTCAAAGACTGAAAGTGTAGGAATCCCTCAGGTTGAGTGCAGTGTAGAGAGTAACACGACCTTCCTCCTCCTGTTTGTGTGAGCGAGCGGTCAGTCACGTGTGTGTGTAGGACGGCCGAACTTAAGGAGCTTCCCCTGGAACTCACGAGATCGGCAACCGGCTGTTTTTTGTCTTATTGCAAGCAACTCGTCTCTGTTCTGGACTTGCACAAACTGCATTACAATGCAATCGTTTTCCAAAATGTCATTTACGTGAAAATATGAAGTCTGTAAATGCCCGTTAACACAGGCCAGAGACGCTGAAGACGGACGCACAGAGAAAAATACTGTAGCAGGCAGATCACTCACTGTTCATGATGCATGAACTATTGGAAGAAAATCCTCAATATTGATTTGGGGGTTTATATGAATGTGTTTCTGAGGGGAACTGACTGCCTTCAGAAAAGTTTACGTGGTATTTTCTTTTAATCTTGTCTCGATATAGTTCATATTAAAGCAGTGTTTCAGCACAGTGCTGCTTTGTTTACAGCGGTAACCAAGGAAACGCCGTATCTGGTGTTCCAGAAGCGCCTCCTGCTGTCAGAGAGAGATTCTGCATCTCATTCAGAGCTCCTGCTGTTTGCTTCGTTCAGGCATGTAGTATAATTTCACAAAGCTAGTCAGAACATTCTGTTTTTGCTTCAAATTGGGTTATTATTAAATCATATTATGTATATGAAATTATATAACGAAATGATATAAATGATATGCATATGAATTGTATAACTAAAATTAAATAACTGTAATTACAGATTTAGGTTAAATAAAGATGTCAGTCTTTATTTTTCTTCTTTTTAGGAAACAAATCAAAGAAAAAATTAATTATACTGTTCCTAATATTCTGTGTTGCTCAAAAACAAAATATATTGTGTTCAGCCTGCTGTTTGCTTCGTTCAGGCATGTAGTATAATTTCACAAAGCTAGTCAGAACATTCTGTTTTTGCTTCAAATTGGGTTATTATTAAATCATATTATGTATATGAAATTATATAACGAAATGATATAAATGATATGCATATGAATTGTATAACTAAAATTAAATAACTGTAATTACAGATTTAGGTTAAATAAAGATGTCAGTCTTTATTTTTCTTCTTTTTAGGAAACAAATCAAAGAAAAAATTAATTATACTGTTCCTAATATTCTGTGTTGCTCAAAAACAAAATATATTGTGTTCAGCTGAATGGTTTATTTTTTTCATTTAAAAATATCTAATAAAATAAATAAAACTGTAACAACAATACCGTGATACAGTGAAACCGTAATATTTTTGCTTAAGGTTATCATACCGTCAAAATCTCATACCGGCCCATGCCTAGTAGTACGTCATATTTAACATAAATGACAAATACATACACTTTTTTGATAAATATGTGCAAACACTCATCCTTAACTGTCATGCATGTGTAATGTGGTTTAGCAATGTTGGCAAAGTCAACAAAGGTTTTTCATCTTTATTCTTCATTTGAAGTCTTCATATTTTCTAGATTTGTAAAGCAATCAGGTATTTAATCTGACAGTCTGACATTAAAGTGCTAGCAACTTGTGAAGGGCCCTGTCCCTGTAGGTTTTAGTTACAAACTAAGTGAGATGATAATCAGATCAGCTGAAAGATTTTGAGAAGCATAGTAGTGTAGAACAGAAGTCCAGGAAGTCCCATTGGTAAAAGAGATGCTGCAACAGAAGCAGTGGTTTTTGTGGTGGTGCTTGATTTTCCGGTGGTGGTGGTTGTGCTGGTGCTCCATTTGCCGGTGGTGGTTGATGTGGTGGTGATGCTTGACATATCTGTGTTGCCTGGTGTGCCCGTGTTGCCTGGTGTGCCCGTGTTGCCTGGTGTGCCCGTGTTGCCTGGTGTGCCCGTGTTGCCTGGTGTGCCCGTGTTGCCTGGTGTGCCCGTGTTGCCTGGTGTGCCCGTGTTGCCTGGTGTGCCCGTGTTGCCTGGTGTGCCCGTGTTGCCTGGTGTGCCCGTGTTGCCTGGTGTGCCCGTGTTGCCTGGTGTGCCCGTGTTGCCTGGTGTGCCCGTGTTGCCTGGTGTGCCCGTGTTGCCTGGTGTGCCCGTGTTGCCTGGTGTGCCCGTGTTGCCTGGTGTGGCCGTCGTGTTGCCTGGTGTGCCCGTGTTGCCTGGTGTGGCCGTGATGCCTGGTGTGCCCGTGATGCCTGGTGTGCCCGTGTTGCCTGGTGTGCCCGTGTTGCCGTGTTGCCTGGTGTGCCCGTGTTGCCCAGTGGTGCCTGGCAGGATAGTGGTGCTTGGTGTGCCCGTGTTGCCTGGTGTGCTCGTGTTGCTTGGTGTGCCCGTGATGCTTGGTGTGCTCGTGGTGACTGATGTGTCTGTGGTGCCTGACGTGCTGCTATTTGTAATTATTACAGCTACTAGTAGTAGTAGGATTTGAGTTTTGGAAGCCATACTCGCCTTTCACTGTTTAGCAAACAATAAATATAAAATTATAATGGTCCACTTCCTTTTAATTTGTAAATGTTTTTTTAAGTCATATGACACATCCCAAATAAACCAATATTATTCTACATTTTGAAACTATCAGCATGACAATATTAACTTGTATTCAAGTTACATAAAAACTGTATAATTTTTAGTGCTGTCAAAATTAGTGCGTTAACGCATGCGATTAATTTTTTCAGTTTAACACATTAAAAATATTTAATGCCATTAACGCAGGGGCGGAGCTAGGGTTGGCCACCCCACTCACAACTGCTGCTTAGGTCTCTTTTTTTTTTCTTGGCAAGAAGTGGATTTATTTAGTCAAGGAACGTCTTTAGGTCCACATCAAACGGGAGAAGTTTCAGACACGCTCCAACTTCACTTCAGCGCCAGGCGTGAGTCAAACGAGTGCGGAAACGGTACTGTGTGTGTCACGCGTGCTCTTCAATTGCACACACTAAGGCATCAGCGCACACTGTACCCTGTATCTTTTCATATCAAAGCTGAATAAGACTACGTGCATGCAATGTCGTGGTCAGTTAAGTCATGAAGTTTAGTGGTCGACCGATATTGTTTTTTTGACAGCCGATGCCGATATCTTGGAAAGCAGGGTGGCCGATATAATTTTATTTAATTGATTTAATATTTAAGAAATTTGAACTAATTTGAAAATGGATAAAAAAAATAAATGTGTAAAATAAACATGCTTACACTTTAAATGACAATGTATTTTTCACAAATAAACAAATATTTAATAAAAATAAACAGAAGTAAACACTGTAACCAACAGGGCACTCCGTATTCTGGGAAGTTTGTGTGCGTTGGGAATAAATGTTTTTTTCAAATAAAGCCAAGGTAACACTCATTTTACATACAGCACACAGTGAAAATGACATGAATATGACAGTGGGCAAAAGCATGAAGCGCAGCATAATTTGAAATCACGAGTTTATAGTTTGTCGATCGCGCGCCTCAATGAAGCTGAACTCTCCTCCTGTCCGTATTCAATTAGCACGGACCGACCGTCATGCAGAGTACACGCAATCATGCAGAATACAAATGCACACTTCATAAGATCTCACGGCTGGATTCGACTAAGTTTGCAAGGTTTTTGAAATTAGATGTTCGTTTGTCATTCAAAGATTTGTTTAAATTATATAAATGCATATTTCCTGAATGCTGACGGCAAACGAGAAAGTATTATAATGTTTGCCTTTCTATTACTAACAATATAAAAGCAATCGTTATAATACTTTTTTGTATACATTTTAATTCCTTTGTTTAACAGTTCTATCTGATTATTAGACAGACTTCTGTCCGTGGACAGAACTGTAAACGACGACAGTGAACAAGAGGGAGAATGTGAGCACTGTGTTCAGGCGCTGCCGCTGTCAAAATAAAAGTCCCGCCACGAACGCATTGGCCAAACAGAAAAACTTATATTTGAAAAATGTAAATATATCGGTCCACCACTAATTGGAATGCTTGGGTAAGATCACGTCAAATTAAAACAGCCTTCTGTGCCACCTTAATTTACTTACTAGTTTTCAACACTTTCGCTTTAATTCTCAGGCACTGACTCATTCGCTAAATTGAACGTCCAATCAGAGTTCTCACTCGCCCCGACGTTGATTCAACATGTTGAATTAGGCAAACTTCCGCCGACGAGAGCCAACATGTGGAACACACCAAACAAACTAGTCCCGCCACGAACGCATTGGCCAAACAGAAAAACTTATCGGCCGATGCCGATATTTGAAAAATGCCAAATATCGGCCGATATACTGTATATCGATCGACCACTAATCAAGTTACCAAAAAGGTGATTAAAGCTGCCTTAAATCTGTGCATGCATGTAATATATTATATATAAGTTGCATTTAAGAACATGCCTCTGAAATGGTTTTCAAAACTGTCCTGGAGCAGCCCATCACTGTCTCCCTCATCTAACTCCCTCGATTCAACTCGTCAGTTTATTGGTAGAGACTTTAAGACCTGAAGTGAGTCAGAAAAGGTAGAGAGATTTGAGAGAAAATACTATGTGTGTCAGATCCGCGTCACGTTCAGCAGCGGCAGCTCTTAAAAAAATAGCAGCCAAAACAACCTAATAACCAGCTGCTGTGATGTCTATTAATCAAAGAAAAAAAAGAAAAAGGAGGAAATCAATAACTTTTGAATTTGGTGTTTGATAACTTCAATTTTACTTCCCGTGTATTTCTGCTGAAGGGCGCAGGTAAATATGACATTAATTATAATGGGTTTATGTGAAGATTGTTTTGAGTTCACTTAAATTAGAAGTTATTTTTTAAAGTCTAATAAATGTTAAAGTTGATATCTCTCAATTATACAATAATGTTGAATGGCTATAATCAATGCTTAAATATTAGGGGGGAAACGGTTTTATAGAGACATCAGTGATACTGGCCTTCAGTCATAAAAAAGATGCCATTAAACAAATATTAAAAATATACTGTCTTTGTTGTTTGTACATTAATTTGAAGATTGAATGTAAAATTATAAGTAAATATAAGTATATTTAAAAACTTTGTTAGGTGGGATTACTCAGGATTCATTTAAGAAAAAATGTGCATTAATCGATTCACAGCACTAATCATTTTTTTATTCTATACTTTTCATATAAAAGTATAAAATAGTCATATTTACCCTTTTCTATGATTGCTCTCTGCGTCCGTTCGATTCTCTAGGAGGATGTCAGTGTGAATGCCAGAGTAGTGTGCTGTCTTTTATTTGAGCATTACACATTAAAACCAACACCCTTGCAAGAGGTGGAGCCACGGAGGGTATATTTTTTTTATTTTTTTTTTTTACTAAATGCATTTTTTTTTTCTACCTCTTGAAAGGATAGTTCACCCAGAAAGGAAAATTGTGTTGTTGTTTACTAACTTTAATGTTATTCCAAATCTGTTGAACACAAAAAGATATTTGGAAGAACATTCGTGTCCAAACAACATTGGACCTCATTGTGTTTCATTGTATACAAAAACACAATTTTTTTTTAATCAAAATATCTTCCTTTGAATCATAGTCATACAAGTTTGGAACAGGGAGGGGTAAATGGTGACAATTTTCATTTTGGGCGAACTATCCCTTTAATTGATGCAACATATGAACACTTGACATCTGTTAGACTTTTGTAGTAGGATATTAGGGATCATAAATTGTAGCCTATATATTTAAATAACATGACTTGATGGAAATGTAGTCTTTTACATCAGTTTGTTGATTCATCAGTATAATTTCTATTTATTCAGGGAAAATTTGTGAACGTTTTATAGTTTATTATTACATCTGCCATGAGACTTTGAGCAAGGTATAAAGCTTTACAGCAGTTGTAAGAGGTATCAGGTGGTTATATGTTGGTCACTAATCTGGGCTATTTATGTGAATAATGATGAGGACAAGCTTGCATATCAGGTAAATTATCATACTCAAAAGTTTTTGAAAACCAATAAATAGTGTTCTGTTGTTCTTTAGTTGTTTATTAATTCTGTTAAAATACAAAGCAGTGGGCTAGTTTTACTTCTCTCTCATTAATGTTAATGCTTACTTATTTGGTTAATATCATGAAGACATCAGTTTATGAAGTCTGCTAAGTAGTCAGTGATCGTAATATGACAGATATTTGTAGACACATTGTTCAAAAGCAGCTTTATAATGCCCCTAGCGAGCAAGCCAGAGGAGATGGCAAGTAAAAGCCCATAAGATGTAAAGGTAGGTGAGGAAAAAACAATACTCAGCTGGGTAATCCCCTCTTCTTTTTACAGGCACATATTTCAACAAACTGCTGAGAAAACATTTAAACTGGTGTCACCAAATACATCAAGGATATTATTGACTTTTTAAAGCAAGCTCTGCTGTATTTTCAAAGAGTGCTGGTGCCGACTGTTTTCTGCTCCACACCAGCTTTGTGCTTTTTTTTTTGTAAGCAGAAGGAAACCCCTCTTTATGGAGCATTGGCATTCATTTGATCTATTTACTATCCTGTGCAAGAATGTAAAATGGCTGGCCGAGCTTGATGGTTTTCATATAGCACAGAGAGGCACAATGGGATTTGCGGATATCCGGGGAAACCAGAAGTTCCATTTAGTTTAAAACCTCTCTTGATGTGGACTATCAGCTCTGCTTTGCTGTGTTTAAGCATTTGGCATTTTCCAGTCTCTCTGCAGGGCCTGGTGACTTTATGTAGTTGTAATAAAACACCATGGATTGTCCAATTTTATTCTTATTTCAATAGTTAAAGGCAGTCTGTTCTCATAGAATACATCAGCTTTACACTTTGTGTTTTGTTTAATACATAAAATAAACAATGAAATGCACAAATCTCTGTCAATACTCAAGCATTACACTAGAAAGAACATTAAATTTTCCACATTACGAAACTGCTAATTGTAGTGTATTTGTACACGTGTCTAGATGTTGATATGTGTAAGCCATACAGTACTCCGTCACATTATGTAGAAGGCAGTACGTTTATTGGAAGCAGGCAGAGATTGCATGTTGAAAAATGCTCAAGAAGGTAGCCAGAACAATGTGAAAATGGAAACCTAAGAGGTAAGTCTCTCGTTTTGCATTCTTTGTGGATTTTTTTTTGTTTTCCAGACTCAAGGAAGCAGGTCTAGTTCAAGAGATTATGCAGAATCAGCAAGCACAGAGGATGACAACTGTACATAAAAGGCTCAAAATGGTGGTTTCAAAGCTACATATGTGGATTTGATGGCTTGTGCTGTGAGCTCTGCCTGGAAGGACCTTCTTGGTGCTACGTGTTCGGATTGTTGTGCTTGAATGTGTGGACAGGCTATGTGGAGTTGATGTGAGAAATCCCCCACTCACAATCAGTACCTGCTCACCTGGCCCAGAGGTATTGACAGTGCTTGGATATTGACCCACATTCAACTGGGCTGACTTGGACAGGTACCCAGATGTAACTACCTG